TATATATATATATGTATTATTATATAAATTATTTATATATTTATATTTATTATGTATATATTATCCATTTATGAGGAAGACATTTCGGCATTGCATTGTTTGTTATTTTTATCTTATACGAGCAAATTAGTCAATGGTTTCTAAAATAATTTTTTTTAGAGATATTATTTAATCAGTAAAATATTACTTAATTTATAATATAATTACCATCTTATAAGAGTTACATATTGTTATTATTATTTTTAAGTACACTTATTATTTTTGAATACTTAGATGAAAAATATTTGCTTTACAAATTGTTTTGTTTTTTGAGGAGTTTTTGCCCCTTTTCCGTGGCCGAAAATACAAAATAAAGGCTTTAAATCAGAAGTTTTTTTATTTGGTTGGCCTGGGCTTATATAATAATATAAAAACGTTTTTCACACCCTTAAAAAAATTAAAAGAATTTATTTTAAATGGAATTGAATTTTTGCATGCCTGCATAGTTAGAAGATTTAAATCCACATCCCCATGTATTTTAGGCATTTGATTTTGAATCTGGTGTCTGTATCCCATTTTCAAATATTTGTTTTTTTGTGGATGTATCAATAATAAAAAGTATAAAAGTACATAGTACGGTATCTTCCATATGAATAAAAAATTAAATAACATAAAATTTACAAAAACCATAGAACCAAGAATACAGGACCAATACTGATACCAAATTTAGCGCATAAAAAAATCATGGAGGTAATTCCAAACTCGGACACTTTTTTTTTTCACCTATATTGAAATATTTTTTTGGTAATGTGCAAGACTTAACTAAGCCGTGGGCTTTAATTTAACTTTCATATTAGTATCTTAATATTATTAGTCAATTATTAGCTGATTATTAGAAGAATTTACTATCTCTTTACATTATGTTATCATTTCAGTGACTGCTATGAATCTGAGGTTGTACGTAAATGAATCGGCAAGATTACAGAACCAAGAACCGGAATATACTTTCCAAAGGTTTTTGAGAATATTTCCTATACGTCTGGTATGGCAACCCAAAAGTCAAAAAATTAACGGTATTGCAATTAATGTACTGCTCTTTTCCTTCAAAATCAGTTTTTAAAAATTGAAAACAAATTTATTGATCTCCGATATAACTTCTTTTGAATTTGTATACCATTGAGGGCTACTTTAGTTAGAAGTTGGCATCATACAGGTATGTTCCGGTTTCCACTTTTTGATTTTAGATTTGAGATGTTTCATGTGACTTCGTTATCAGATGTTTCGGGATTCAGTTACTTTATTTGCTATACATATATATATATATACATATTATTCTTATTCTATTATGCTAGATATTTCAAATCTAAGATATACAGGCCTGTTCTAGTTTCCACTTCCGCAAAATTTATTCAGATTTGGATTTCCCTGTTCTGTTCTAGTATTCACTTCCGAAAAATTCTTACGGATTCGTATATCCCTCTGTTAAGTCTCTTTTAATTTGCAGGCGAAACGTTCGAAACTTTCCGTGTGCCATTTGGCCGGCGGATTCAAATCCGCAAAATCAGAAATTAATTATTTTAAAATACAATCAAGCCTGTTCTAGTTTCCACTCGGAAGTGAATTTGATAACATTTGCATATTTTCCTTTAACATAAACGAATTTCCCTAGGTGATTTATGGAAATTTTTAAAAATTTCCCTTAAATTTCTGAACAAAATCAGCTGGTCGCTTTTAACAAAAGAGTTTGCCTTGTCTAAGATTTGCTGATCAAATTTTGGCCCGCTGTAATTTCCAACTCATAGATTGTAATGAAGCACTAATTTAATGAATAAAATCGAAGGAATATGCATTTACGGCTGGAATTAAACATTTTGAAATATTTGAAATTGCTATCAGCTGTTCTGGTGGCAAAATGCTAGAGAGAGTTGTCGAGGGCTTAGAAAAAATTCCCTTCGCATAACACTTAGTTCAGTTTGTAAATTAAATTGGCTGGTATTTTAAACAAAAACACTTTTTCATATACTTTACCCTAATAGCAGATCTTTTAATTGTAAAACAACATAAAAAGTAATTGTTCGAAATTAATCTTAAATATATGCCGTTTTTTTTTTTTTTTGAAACGCTGAAAACCCTTAAATGGTCCATCTCAAATACGACACTGCGGCGGCGGATTTGCAATAATGTTGAAGGTTGGAATCGAACCGATTTTAAGGTGCACCCACAAAATAATTATTTATAAATCAATAAAGTAATACTAAAGTACTTTAGTATTAGCTAATTCAATTATGCAATAATGTTCCCAAAACCTCTAGGAATAGATTACAATTAACATTTGTAATATACATAATCGCAATATATTTTAAAATAATTAATTGCTGATTGAATTTGAATCCACCGGCCATATGTCACACGGAAAGTTTCCGAACGTTTCGCCTGCAAATTAACAGAGACTTAACAGAGGGATATACGAATCCGTAAGAATTTTTCGGAAGTGAATACTAGAACAGGTCAGGGAAATCCGATTCCGAATAAATTTTGCGGAAGTGGAAACTAGGACAGGCCTGTATATGATAAAGTCGTCCGTTTTTCAAAAAATTAAATTGAAATTCTGAAATAGTATAAAATGTTCATATCTCAAAGTATATAAAAATATACTAACAAGGAAGTTATAATTTTTTTTCTGAAAAAATTCAGATCGTTTTTATGACAGCTATATAGTTGTCCGATCCGGCACGTTCCGACTTACATATATGTTTACCAGCGAGAGTAGTCAAAAGATTATCAGCAAAGTTTCATTCAGATAGGTGAGGGACTAGTTGACGTAGAAACGGACAGACGGACGATAGACGGACATGGGTAGATCGACTCGGCTGTTGATGCTGATAAACAATATATATACTTTATAGGGTCGGAAAGGTCTCCTTCATTGCGTTGCAACTTCTGACTAAAATTATAATTCCTTGCAAGGGGATACAAATAACGATCGAAAGTTACAGTTCCTCAAAAGTAACAAAAACTGTTTTTTTTTAAATTTATGGTTGGAGTATCTCAAAAACCAGCGAATCAAAAACCCTCGGCCTGTATAATTATAATTATTTAAATATTAAAATGTTTTGTCCATAATTGTTATTTTAAAAAGTTTTTTAACATTTTCTTATAGCAAAACTTATATATGCAAGAAATTAATTTTCCAAATTGATAAATAAGTGCACAAATTTGTTAACTCTTTTTTCATAAAAAAATTCGAGTTTAACTGACTTTTAACCAGGGATCGCAAAGAAGAGTTATGAAAAGGTAATAATTGAATATAACTTTAGGTTTAAAATTTAAAAATAAAAATTGATCATAACTTTTATTTTAAAAATGGAAAATAAAAATTGAATTTCAATAACTTTTTAACTGAGCAACCTATTTTAAAGAATTAATTAATCTAACTTTCAATACCTTTCGTTTGATGTATATACCTATTAATTTATGGCTTTGACTAATATCTTCGCAATTTGCGTTTGAATAAAATGGTAATGACTAAAATATGCAAAATATATAAAAATATACAAAATATGCAAATATGTAAAATAAACACATATTAAAACATTTAATTAAAGAGATTCTTAGAGTGATAAAGAGGTTAAAATGTCTTGATCCTATAAAAAAAATGCAAATACATATGAACTACATATACATATCTAACGAAAGGTACTGGAAAGTAGATTTATTATATATGCCAATCTTTAAAATTGGTCGCTTAGCTTAAAAGTTATTGCAATTCTATTTCTATTTTTATTTTTTAAATAAAAGTTGTCAATTTTTATTTTAATTTTTTTTTTTCAATATTAAAGTTATATGTGAATTTTTTCTTTCTCATAACTCTTATTTGCGATCCATGATTTTAATATATAATATTAAGAGTTCACAACCTTAACATATTATCAATAAATAAAAATTGTATAAACAACGATTTAAAAATTGTCTATGCCACTGTATCATAGAGCGGGAAATTATACAGTTAAATGATTGTATTGAATAAAAACTTAAATTTCAACCTTTATTTAAAATTCCAACAAAATTAAGAATAAACAAAATTTTCGGTATCACAGAAAACTATTTGAAGTCCCCCAAAAATCTTGGCGCAGTTTTATAAGAACGTCGTGTCGTTGTAATTTTTATTTTTTTTAAATACAGCGCGCTTTATTTAAATTAAGTTTTGTGTTACGGCAAAGGGGCTTGTATTTTGTATTACATTACTTCCGAGTTAAGAAAGTATTTAATTTACGACTCTTTAATCAAATTTAAATTAGTAATTCAATTATTATTTGTTTTTATTGGGGAAAAATTTAAACAGCCGAATACAATTTTCTGCTTTCGTTCTTTTTTTTATGAAATAGGCTTTGACATCGTTAGGAAAAAAAGTTTTTTAAAAAAATGTACAATAGTCTCGAAAAAAACATAAATGTTATGCACAAATAGACTTATTATGTCTTATAATCATAAAATAAGGGAATACCCTGATCATATGTTTATATGTTTAAAAGATATAATAAATCTATTTTTGTATAATATTCTTATAATATAATAATCAGTTTATTACAAAGATAGTACGATAAGCATAAAAGCTTGGTTAAGAAAAACAATCCATTCCACCAAAAACAAAACCCTTTTTCTTTTCCAACCTTAATTATTTAACTTTTTAATCTGTGTTGGGACTTTAATTAATCAGTTCTATTAAGATCATTTCAGTAAAACCCGTACAATATGAGTTACCTTTAATATAAATCTCCCCATTTCTAATGATAGGATTCTTAGATTAAATATACCTAGTTCCCACATTAAATCTATTTTGTTATGGGACAGCAGTTTCTTCAGCACATTATTTCTGCATATCATCAAGTTATTCGAACCATCAGATCTTCGCTGATTATTGTCAAATTCAATATGAAGTATGACGCAGTCAGTGTGATATGGAGATGCATAGTGATCACCAGTAAACTTTTTTGATTCATTTTAATAAACTATATACCTACACAAACTTACACTTAAAATAAGGTATACCAAAATATTAGTTCCTTTAATATCGTAGGCGAGCACCTGGGACCCCGAGTTTGTAAATGACCAGGGTGAGCGAGGAGATGGGACGATTGCAGGCAACTTGTTTGACTTATCATACCCATTGCGTGAAGGTTGTTGCGTATGTACTGAAATATAAGGATTTAAATCAAATAAAATACATCTCATTATATGCATTATTAGGTAAAAAAAAAGTTATCACTTGGTTTCCAAAGATATAGACTAAAGCTTAATTTTCTAATATTCTTCCAGCAATATACTTATATAGATAAAATAAATATTCTGGGTGTTTCCTTGACGACTGAATTACTGAAACTATCGGCGATGTATCGCGATAGTTAGCCGACATTTTCAGCCATTTTAATGGGAACAGCTGTTAAGTTAAAAACCGAAAAAGTTATATTTATACCCTTGCAGGGTATAATAATTTTAGCCAGAAGTTTGCAACGCTGTGATGAAGATACACTGCAAGGGTATACAAATTTGTCAAACACTTTGTTTTATCCAACATTTCTATACCCTTGCAGGGTATAATATTTCAGTCAGAAGTTTGCAACGCAGTGAAGGAGACCTTTCCGACCCTATAAAATATATATATTCTTGATCAGCATCAAGAGCCGAGCCGATCTAGCCATGTCCGTCTGTCCGTCCGTCCGTCTGTCCGTCCGTTCGTCTGTCCGTCCGCAAATTAGTCCCTCAGTTTTAAAGCTATCTGAATGAAACTTTGCATATAGTCTTTTCTATACTCTCACTGCTATAAATGTCGGAATGGGCCGGATCGGATGACTATATCATATAGCTGCCATACAAATGTTGAATACATTTTTAGAAAAAAAAAAACATAAATTGGTTGTTTTTCAACATTTTTGCACCATTTTGAGATATGGCCAATTTATATTATTTCAGAATTTCGGTTTTAATTTTATGAAAATCGAACGACTATATCTTCTAGCTGCCATAGAAGCGATCGGTAAATGTAGAGAAAATGTGAGGTTTCGAATGTAAAACTGTAACTGACAAACTGTAATAATAATAAGAATAGGTAAAATGTAATGAAACTCTGTTTTGTGTGTGTTTTCAGCATTTAAATCTATAATATTAGGTTGTGTGGTAATGACTTACCGGTTTTTATGTACATTCTAATTTCGCGCTTCGCTTGTGAAGTCAAATATAATCGTATCTGGCAATGTTGTATATCGTTTGAAAGGTATTTAAAATGACATATAGTTTGTTTACATGAGCTTACAATCGATTGGAATGGAGTTCACAAACGCAGAAATTCGGGCAATTTTTAAATTTTATTACGCACAGGGAAAAACTGCTACGGAGTCTCGCAGACAGATTATTGCTGTCTTAGGAGATAACAAACTTTCGATTCAAACCGCCGAACAGTGGTTTAGGCGATTCCGAAGTGGCAATTTTGATACCGAAATACCCAAGCCTTCCGGACGACCAGTGACCGTTGATACGGATAAAATCATGGAAATAGTGGATCGAGTCATGTGACTATTAGAACCATCGCAGAGGAGCTGCAACTAAGCACGGAAACCGTCCATAGGCATTTAACCCTAGACGGTCATGCTTCGTCGATTCGACGACGCAAAATCACAAAAGATCGAAAAATGAAAAAGGGGTTGTTTTTATACCCTTGCAGGGTATTATAATTTCAGTCAGAAGTTTGCAACGCAGTGAAGGAGACCTTTCTGACCCTATAAAGTATATATATTCTTGATCAGCATCAACAGCCGAGTCGATCTAGCCATGTCCGTCTGTCTGTCTGTCCGTCTGTCTGTTTCTACGCAAACTAGTCCCTCAGTTTTAAAGCTATCTGAATGAAACTTTGCATATAGTCTTCTATCTCACTGCTATATATGTCGGAACGGGCCAAAACGGGCCGGATCGGACGACTATATTATATAGCTGCCATACAAATGTTCAATAATTATAGAAAAATAATTATAACTTGCTGTTTTTAAACATTTTTGCATAATTTTTTTAGATATGGCCATTTTATATTATTTCATAATTTTGGTAAAAATTTTATGAAAATCGGACGACTATATGATATAGCTGCCATAGGAACGATCGGGAAATTAATAGAAATAAAATTATAGCTTCGTTGTTTTTCAACGCATTTTTATTTACTCTGAAATATAAGCTTTTTTTTATTATTCTAGAATTTTGGTATACATTTCATAAAAATCGGACAACTATATCTTATAGCTGCCATAGAAGCGATCGGTAAATGTATAAAATATATAAAGCTGGGAATGTAAAACTGTAACTGTCAAACTGTAAACATAATAAGTATAGGTAAAATGTAATGAAACTCTGTTTCGTGAGTGTTTTCAGCATTTAAATCTATAATATAAACATCAAAACCAATCTGCAAGGGTATACAAACTTCGGCGTGCCGAAGTTAGCTTCCTTTCTTGTTTAAGTCTAAAATTTTTTTAAATGTATACTTATTATATATTATATTTTGTTGCTTTTTTGGGTTGTGGTTTTTTATTTTTTTAATTAAAAGTTATAAATTAAAAAGTTATGAAAAGAGAAATAAAAATTTAAAAATAAAATAATAATAATAAAAATTACATTAAAAAGGATAATTATTTCTTTCTTTTACAATTTTTATAAAAAGAATGCAGAACTTAAATTTCAACCTTTATTTAAAATTCCAACAAAATTAAGAATAAACAAAATTTTCGGTATCACAGAAAACTATTTGAAGTCCCCCAAAAATCTTGGCGCAGTTTTATAAGAACGTCGTGTCGTTGTTATTTTTATTTTTTTTAAATACAGCGCGCTTTATTTAAATTAAGTTTTGTGTTACGGCAAAGGGGCTTGTATTTTGTATTACATTACTTCCGAGTTAAGAAAGTATTTAATTTACGACTCTTTAATCAAATTTAAATTAGTAATTCAATTATTATTTGTTTTTATTGGGGAAAAATTTAAACAGCCGAATACAATTTTCTGCTTTCGTTCTTTTTTTATGAAATAGGCTTTGACATCGTTAGGAAAAAAAGTTTTTTAAAAAAATGTACAATAGTCTCGGAAAAAACATAAATGTTATGCACAAATAGACTTATTATGTCTTATAATCATAAAATAAGGGAATACCCTGATCATATGTTTATATGTTTTTTTATTTTTTTAATTAAAAGTTATAAATTAAAAAGTTATGAAAAGAGAAATAAAAATTTAAAAATAAAATAATAATAATAAAAATTACATTAAAAAGGATAATTATTTCTTTCTTTTACAATTTTTATAAAAAGAATGCAGAAAAGGAGTCTGTCTACAGACATCCAAACTAGAATGAATCCGATCGCTAACAAGTGTTCAAAACAAAGAAGGCGATCATGTCACAAATACCCGGGTGTCGTACCAAACACCCGGGTGTTTTCAAGACACTCAGGTCATAAATGGATTACTTTCTTGCAACTCTTTTTGCATAGTTGTTTTCTTCATGTGTGTCGTCCCGACACCCAGGTCATAAATGTGTTTTTTTCTTGTCACTCTTTTTGCATAGCTGTTTTTCTCGTGCCCTTTTTGAGTGCGAGTGTGATCGGCACCCGCTGACGAAAAGTACCGCTGCTCAACTCACAGAGTACTTGCAACACACAGATGTTTTTTTGTGGTTGTTTGTCTATTACTTTGATGCTCGGTGGTGAGTGGCACCGGTACCCGAATTTAGTGCAAAAAAATGCCACCCTTGCAGTTCTCTGGTATACACCATAATATCTAATGTTGATAGCCTCCCAAAACTAAAAACTTTAATATTAACCCACTTAGTCGCTCACGTGCCATAGTCGATACAGACTCGGACCTTGAGAGCGTGCAGCTTTTCCACTCACCGAAACCAGGCACCAGCTCCCAGCGCAGGGACGGGCCAAGGCGGTCAAGCGAGGGAATGAAGGCCAAGGCGCTGTACAAGGCTCCAGGAAAAAACCGCCCTATCCCCAGAGGAGAAGGCAAAGCTTACCTGGCTGAAGAGAAAATCGACCAGGGGAGGCTTCACTTCGCCAAACTCCCCCACATGACATCGACTGGCGGATTCGCCAACAAGGTGGAGGAGACGTTTGCCAACAAAAGGCAAGGCTCAACGAAAAGCACCTCTATGGACGCACAGGGGAGCAAGCGGCAACGCGGCCCTAAGGAGGCAGGCCCTTCCCAAATAGCGAAAAAGCCCAAAAAAACCGCAAATGTCAGTGAGGTGACCAAAAGACACTTGATTGTGGCCCTCATTGACAGAAGCGATGAAGATGGCAAAATGACCGAGGCGCAGTGGAAGATGGTGCATGCGCGGCTCATTGATTCATTGTACGCACGGATGGAGGATGATCCCAAAGCTCCCATGCCCACCTTCGATGGCGCTGGGTGGCTAATTGGGGTGAAAATCCTAAAGTGCATGGATGACCCGACGAGGAAGTGGCTGACACAAGCGGTCTGCCAGTTGGAGGCGCTGTGGGAGGGAGCCAAGCTAGTGGTGGTGGACCGGGAGCTAATCCCGTCCACTCCAAAAGCGAAGGTACTCTTCCCCATCGCAATCCAAGCGGACCGGGCGAACCCGGATATCCCAACCGCGGACTGGAAGGTTCCATCACCCAAGGAGGGGGGGGCAAAGTGCAGTCCTCCAGATAATCAAGGAGGCAGAGGACATCCTTTATCCCAGATACGGGAAGATGGCGTGGGGCATGGGTAGCGTATACCTGCGCCTCAAAAAGCGCCACCCCGGGGATAAGGATGCTCACACCCTGAAGGCAGATGTGGTGGAGAAGGACCTAGATCTGGAAACCATCGTGGATGCCGACCGGGAAATGACGCTGGATGAGTCCGACGAAGGTGAGGACGGTGAACTTACCGTAGTAGTCATCCCGTCGTATGGAGGTGAGCCCAGTACCCATGACACTCAGGGTGCTGCAGCTCAACCTCCATAAGAGCAAGGTCGCGTCGGCGGAACTCCTTATAGTCATGGAGCAAGGATCCGCCGACATGGATAGCCTCAGGCAATGCCATCGCCGGACTGAAGTCCGCAAATTACAATTTGCTCCATCCACCAACGGTAAGCAGGAAGGGTCCACACGCTAACCTTATGTCTCACAACAGCTCTGATGACCTGACCGTGGTGATGCTAGAGAGCGGGAAAAAGCGCCTTTTGGTAGCTTCCTGCTACATGGAACACGACAGGACGGCTCCACCAGAAGAACTCATGAGCTTGGTAGAAGCCAGCCCGAAGGACCAGCAACTGCTCGTGGGTGCAGACGCCAACGCGCACCACTGTGTATGGGGGAGCCCCGACATAAACGACAGAGGTGAGTCCCTCTTAGACTTTATACTCTCAACCAACCGGAGTATAGCAAACGTGGGAAAGAAACACACCTTTGTAGGTCCCACCTCCTCAAACGTGCTAGATCTTACTCTTGTAAGGGGACAAGGTACTTTGGTATCAGAATGGAGAGTCCTTGAGAGACCATCCTTCTCAGATCATAAGTACATACGGTCTTCAGGAACCACCGGAATACTAACTGGGGAAAGTTCAAGGAGACTATTGCGACACGGCTCGCGATCTCTCCGGGCATATTTGAATCCGCGGAAGACATAGAAAAGTCCCTAGAGACCATCTCCAAAGAACTGCTGGATGCGTACCTCGCATCATGCCCTATATCGGACACGAGAAAGAGGACCAGGCCACCCTGGTGGAATAAGAACCTTTCACTCCGACGCAACAAACTCAAAGAATTCTTTAAAATCGCCAAGCAGGCGAAAGATGACATCATCAATGAGGAATACAAAGTCCTACTTAGGGACTACAAGAAAGATATGCGCAAGGCGCAGAGAAACTCATGGAGAAACTTCTGCTCCAATATAGAGACTGCCCCGGAAACGTTTAGACTCCGGAAGCTGCTATCGAAGCAGGCAACCATACAGAGTGAGCTCAAACGCGACGACGGGCAGTGGACTGAGGGCAGGGAAGGGGCCCTAACAGCACTAATGCACGCGCGTTTCCCAGGATGCACCAGGACCTAGCAACTGGAGTAGAGCATCTCCCAAAAGATTTAATATCCTCTGGTAGAATCCACTGGGCTACAGACTCCTTTCCGAGGATAAAAGCACCAGGACTAGATGGAATATTCCCAGCCATGCTGCCGGTGACCAAGGAGGTGATCACCCCATGGCTCTACGCAATATATACAGCTTGTTTAAGCACGGGCTATATCCCTATCCAATGGAGGACCTCGCGGATTGTCTTCCTGCCCAAAGCAGGAAAGTGCAGCTACGTGAGCTCCAAGGATTACAGACCGATAAGCCTCACCTTATTCCTACTTAAAATGCTAGAAAAGCTGCTGGACCTATACATCAGGAACGATTTAGGGAGATAACTGTCGACCAACCAGCACGCCTACACGAAGGGGAAATCAGTGGAGACGGCACTACATTCGTTGGTAGCCACCATTGAGAGAGCCCTAAACAATAAGGAATATGCATTTGGAGTGTTCGTGGACATATCCGGGGCATTCAACAACGTTAGCACGGACGATCGCCTAGAAGCGACCAACTCGTCCCCCGCTATTAACTTGTGGATAAAAAATCTTCTAAGTTACCGGCGGGTTCAATCAGATTGGGGCACCGCTTCCATGGTGAGAGGAGCGCACAGAGGCACGCCGCAAGGTGGGGTTCTGTCGCCCCTCCTATGGAATCTGGTGGTAGACGACCTAATCAAGAGATTCGAGAGGAAAGCACCAAAGATAACAGCTTATGCGGTTGACATAAGCATTATTATCATGGGAGTCTGTCCATCGACCCTCAGCTCGATCATGGAAACAACGCTCAGGGAGATATGTGAGTGGGCGGTGAAGGTAGGACTCAATATCAATGCGGATAAGACGGACTTTATTCTCTTCACCAAGACAGCAAGCTGACGTGGAAGGCCAATGTAGTAGAGAGGGTAAAAAAGGCCACCATAGCGCTATATGCATCCAAGAAGATGCACATGGGGCCTCTTACCCGCTCTAATGCATTGGGTCTACATATCGGTGGTGCATCCGATACTGCTGTATGGAGTCTTAATGTGGTGGCAAGCCATGGAGAAGAAAACGTATAATAAGCTTATGGAGAGAACCCAGCGGCAGGCACTGCTCTGTATATAAGGGGCGCTGAGGTCAACCCCCACCAAAGCACTCGAAACCATAATGGGTATATATCCCCTAGATATCCATGCGTACTAAGTACAATCAATCCGTCAGCACGCCAGTAGTAGTTTCCTCGCATTCTTTTCGATTTATTTCCTTCGCGCCTACTAACTGCTTACAGAACAAGCAGGTGCTTGGTGTCGCAAGTTCTACATGATATGTACTGTCTATAGTGCATCAACGTCTTGCATAAAATTCCAAATAACCAATTCAGTTAGAAATTCATGTGCGCTTCCATATCAGCATTAGTGTGACTGTATATTATTCGCTACTGACCGGAATTATTGAATTAATTTGCATATTTCCGTTTTAAATTCCACAGGAAAAAATAAAATTTTCCTCAAAGGTAATAATTATATTAAAAATAATTATTACAAGTCCGATTTGTTCCTAAATTCCCAATCCAGCTTCGAACCATAAATATTTCGGAAATATTATATATTTACAGTTAATTTAAGTAAAATATATATAATATCTTCTAAGATGTTGAACAAATTTACTTTGATCTGTGACCGTCTGAGTCACTTCAAGTCCCGAGTCTGCAATCCAGCAGCACCCACTCCATCCAAGTACTCTTGCGAAATCCATCTCGACCAAGTCCGAGCGCTATGGGATAAGGTCGAGAAAGAGTACGAAGATTGTTCAGAGCTAATTTCAGTTGGCTTAGAGGGCGCGGAGGACACCTTGCCTACTCTTAAGGCAAAATACGACTACTCCTATTTTAATTACGAACAGTGCTCATGCAACGGATCGATACGATCGCCTCCAAAGCTGTTCAAGTCCAACCCCCTGCGCCCCAAAATTCCTTATCGTCTGGCTGTCGGCTTCCTCCCTGCGAAACGGAAGTTTTCTCGGGCGATTATCTTCGCTGGCCGACTTTCCGGGACCTTTTTACAGCGGTCTATATCGACAATCCTACGCTGACCCCTGTAGAAAAGTTGTTCTATTTAAATGCCTGTCCGGCCTTCCTGCGGATAATTAGGACTGGCTCCTGGTTAATTTGTGCTCCACGAAGCTTCCAAAGCTGACGCTCTCATTATGGGAGCCTCTAATACCCAAGAGTGCCTCAAGGCACTTATTATATAATTTGTATTATCTAAAAATCGAGGAGCCTTTTAATTATTTGAATTATACTTGTCAATTCACAATAAACATGTGAACTTATGAGTGGAAGCTTTCACAGCTGTCTTAAGCTTTACATGCATCATGCATTCGCTTCGGTGTGCTTCGTATTGTGATTTGGTTATCAATAAAAATGAAATAACTTTAAAATCAGCCAAATAAAATTTATTGTTCTTGAAGGTAAGATATTATACTATATAATCCAAATTAAGTTGCATATTTGCAACTTTATACAAATAGTGCGTTGCAGCGGTGAAATTGTGATAAGTGCCTTGAGGCACTGTTGGGACTCCACGCAAACTTTTACAAGCAGCGCCTTTTTCACAGCTGCATGCAATTGTTATGTTTGTTTCTGTTTATTATATGGTTTTGTTTTAAGACTTTCGATCGAAATGGCAGAGCGAATGCGTAGACGTTTTAAATTGTCCGAGTTGACCGATGAACAATTGCTTGACTTGTTCAATGATGTTGAGACGGACGAGGAACTCTTGAATAACTCCAGTGATGACGATGAAGACAGCTTGGATTTGGTAGAATCACTTAACACGGCATTGGAGGACGCCGAAACTATTTCATTTATCGACAATACCGCTGATAATGTCAAAGATAATGTACAGGAGCTGGAAATTACCAAAAATCCTGCAAAGAGACCTCGTTCACCACTGCCGATAAAGGAATATTCAGTGTGTACATCTGAGCCTTTTTCTGGTGGTTTCAATTGTGCCGGTAAGAAAACTAAATTATATAATGGTACTCAAATAACTAATTAATTTATCAACAGATGTTGAATCAATAAACAAGGTGCCGACAAAGGTAACATGGCGGCAGCAATCGATACAGTTGCATGTAAACGATATAGCTTTTCGGGGAGATTCTTCACTCCCAGATTGTATAAAGGAACTTAAACACCGATGCAGATTTTCTGTTACTTCTTCGATTCAGAGATTATGAATATGATTGTTGAAGAAACCATTCGGTCAGCATTGACGATATCCATCACTACATTGGAATTTTGATCTACATGTCCACTTATCGGTACCCGAATATAAAAAGCTACTGGGGTATAAATGCATTACAGACAGCCGTCTGCTTGCTATCCACTTATGTGGGTGTTAAGCCATTTTTGAAATTAAATGCAAATAAAGAGATAGCAAAGATAGCTCGTTATGACAGGAAATCTAAAAGACAAATTTAGGTTTATTGTCCCCAAATTATTCGGGAATATAATGCCCACATGGTCGGTGTTGATCTCATGGATGGACTTATGGGTCGTTATCATATTTGAGCAAAAACACAAGATGCCATGACACGAATTTTTTACCATTTGGTTGATATGGCAGCGAAAAATGCGTATGTTTTATACAGGCGCATCAACAAGGAAAACAAGAGCACAGACTATTTGTTGGAGCTTCCGCAGTTTCGGGAATCAATTGCTGCTGGTTTAGTTGCAAATCAAAGCAAGCATAAACGCGGTCGACCATTTTGTCATAATGATCGGAAATTTCCGTCACCATCATCTCAGCAAACTGCAGAACAAGGTTGGGCAATGCAATCTCCATCCACGCCGAGATCTTCGCTCACAGTTGGTGAAAAATCAAAGCATCCAATTTCAGATGATTCAGATGATGAATCCAATCATTTTCCTGTTTGGATGAGCCGAGACAGTGGAAAAAGATGGTGCAAGCACTGCAAAAAATCCCAAACACACATATGTGCACAAAATGTAACCTGCACTTGTGCTGTACGGCAAATAAAAATTGTTTTTTTAAGTATCATAATCGAAAATAAAAATAAACTCATATATGTAAAAATTGACTTAAAGACCCAAGAGTGCCTAGAGGCACTTATATACCTTTGTTTGATTTACAGGTTTTTTTTTAATTGTTTATCTATATATATAAAAATGGGGACAAAAAATGTTACTAATGGCATCACAAGAGAACGACTGGGCCTATTTGGCTCAAATTTTGGGAAAACCTTCCGGAAAAGCCACTAGCGGCTCAGCAGATGTACACACTGTTGTATGTAAAATCCTGAAACACACATAGATCATAGCTGCGTTGAAATTGTGTATCAATGAAATCGGTAAAAAATATTTAAACAAAAAAATCGAGTTAACGAAGCATTACCAAAGTGAGCTTAAACAATTGAATATAATGCCTGTTGTTAGAGGATCAAGACTTGGACGGCGTTCACGCAATGCAATAAGTAGTCCGAATTTCCGTAATAGTCGGACGCAAGAGGAACGTACAGAAATAAATGCATCGATACGTGCCCAGATGGCACAGTTTCGCGCTGCACAAAGACCACCTCAAGCCCGACAAAATAATAGAGGAAGACGAACCGCAAATGAAAACTTGAATCGCGCTGCATTCGCATACAATTCTGCAACACCCTACAAAGATCATAGCTGCGTTGTTATTGTTTCATTGTCGGTCGTAAGTCAGCATTGCAATGCACTGAAGTTTCGGTTGGAAACCCTCGGCTTATGCTATGCAGGTGGCAAAATTAATTTGCCCGTTTTGGCTCATCCACCAGAGCCATTGTATTCACTACTATATGGAAATTCAGCCCAATCAAACAGTTTCCTAAACTTTAAAACGACATAGCTCCGCCGGAAAAAAAGCGACATATCTCCGAGCGGAGTTATGTCGATTTCATGCGACATATCTCCGCCAGAAAAAAAGCGTCATATCTCCGCGCGGAGTTATGTCATTTGTAAGCGACATATCTCCGCCAAACTACTAACGACATACAGTGGCGAACTTAATTTTTGCCACCGTTTTTCTTCATTTAACATAGAAATATTTACTTGAATCAAATTTGATTTAAATATTTTGATCAATTTCCAACTAAATGAACTTAATTTTATTTTTGTATATCATTCCATTAATTTATAAAAATTTAAAATTTAAAAAAACCGCTACATTTCCCTGAACAAAATTATTGGCACACATGGCAAATAGTGAATTATTTTCTAAAAATTTTATCGACCTGTTAACTTTTTACTTCTGGAAAGCTTTGTTATCTTTATTTAGAATAGTTTGTTGATAAAATTTTAACTTAAAATCGTCGAAGTGTCTATTTTTTAAGCCAAAGTAGCTCATTTTACTAAAATGATTTATACTAAAAACCGTTCCATTTGAATTTTTAAAAATTTTTTGGTTCGGTTGCAAGTTTGACAAAAAACATCGATGTCGATGTTTTCAAAATAGACCATCGATGCACTATGGTTTTTTTCGCGTTTTTTTTGGCATAAACTCTAATTTTAAACCTATTGATCTGAAATTTGGTATGTATACATTTTTTAAGCTTCTATGATGGCCTACCAAATTTCAAATGATTTGGGGCACTATTTCATATAGCTGCCATATAACTGATCTGGCCGATTTGCACCAACTTTTTTGTTTTTCAAATGATTTGGTTATATTTTAACAAAAAAATTTTTTTGGGCGAATGGGCCAGATCTGTTATATGGCAGCTATATGAAATAGTGCCCCAAATCATTTGAAACTTGGTAGGTCTTCTTGGGAGCTTAAAAAAGGTATTCAAACGAAATTTCAATACAATAGACCTAAAATTGGAGTTTATAGCAAGAAAAAAACGGAAAAAAACCATACTGATATGGTACTAGAAAATGTTGATTTTTTCGAAAACGTGTGGATTCGGACAAAAACTGTTAGTTTCTCATTAATCTGCACACTTTGGTGAATAGTTTCTCATTTACAACTTTTTGCAACTATTTGCCATGCAAAAGTACTGATCCACGAAACACAGCTACACTTGTTAAGCTCGCTCTAAAAATACACGTAAACAAAAGACGGTACAATTGGACAAAAACACATAACAACGACAGAAACATTGGTAAACTTTAGTTTTATATACCTGGACAATCGTTTTCCATATTTATTCATTTAACTTCTTCGTAAACTTTTGCCACAACAAACTATCAAAGTCGCACAATTTTTCGCGCCTATTTCATACAAAACAGCTGCTACATAATCAGCTGACTTTAACAGCTGGCCAGCAGAACAGTGTTGCTCCATATGTTAAAGTTACATATTTTTTTATCTGTCTAGGGTATTTAAAAATTAAAAATAAAAAAAATTTTAAAAGAGACATAAGAATAAAAAAATTGACTTTATGCCAAAAAAAACGCGAAAAAAAACATAGTGCGATGTATAACTTAACATCGGTATCAAAAAAATCATCGAAAAACATCGGAAAATAGCGCTAAAAATAACATCGATGTTCGATGCACCAATGAACTTTGTAATAAATAAAATAATATATATAATAATAATAATAATATAATATAATAAAAATAATAAAATAAATAAAATAAAAAAATAGAAATAAGCTCTTTGTCTTATTTCTATTATCTTTTTTGTGAGTAAAAACTGCAAACAAGCTACCGTAGTAATTATATATTTTGTTCTTATTTTCTAGATATGAAATGACATAATTAAAAATGATATCAATATTGATGCTTTCATAGGACTCTTTCATTTTATTTGAAATTATGAAATAGGCAAAAATTTGTAAGATGTTATCCATAGGCCCATTTATCCATAGACTCATAAATAAATATTAAATATTGTTGAATCAGAGACCGATGTTTCGTCAAACATCGATGCATCGGTTAACATCGATATCAACAAAAACATCGAAAACATCGGAAACATCGCTATAAAAAACCTTGATGCTCGATGCATCGATGTTTTTAGCATCACTAGTTCGGTGTGCCAATAATTTTGTTCAGGGAAATGTGACAGTTTTTTTAGTTTTTTAATTTTTATAAATTATTGAAATGATATACAAGGATAAAATTAAGTTCATTTAGTTGGAAATTGATCAATATATATAAATAAAAATTGTTTTAATGTTTTTGCTATGTTTTAATGGAGAAAAAGGGTTCCAAAGTCAGACATGCCAACTGTGCCAACAATTAAGTTCGTCACTGTATTTTCGCGCGGAGTTATGTCGCTTTAAAACGACATATCTCCGCCGAACTAGAAACGACATATCTCCGCGCGGACTTATGTCGCTATGCCCACAAAATCATTATCAGCGCTGACAAAAGACCCACTGGTAGCCATGCAAGACAATTTAATGCTCCCACTATCAATGAGTGGTGATTGTTGGCGAGAATATGTAATCACGCGATATTGTTTTTAAGCGTCGGTATAATGGCCAAGTGCAGCGAGTTTATGATGCTCTTCAATACCCGTTGATGTTCTGTCGTGGAGAAAATGGTTATCACTTCAACATAGAGATGGTCAATCCAACTTCAGGTTTGTTTACAAGTCATCACTTCTTTTTGATTATACAACTAAGTTTGAATTCAAATTCAGGGAGAAGAAACGAATAAGAAGGTCAACTCTATGGATTTTTATGCGTATCGATTGATTATTCGACTAGATGTTGACAATCATCTGTTAAGATACCGCCGTTTGTTTCAACAGTACTGAGTCGACATGTACGTCAAAGTAGAAACGGAACGTCTCAATTTTATTCGTTTTAATCAGTGGAAGTTACGCTCAGACGAGTACATACACTTGCGTGACGCCATCGCTACTGAAGAACACGCGGCCAACATCGGTTGTTTGACCATTCTCCCAGTTACTTATGTTGGAAGTCCGCGTTCATCACGTTTACATGCAATCCGAGATTATGCAACGGTACGCGGTTGTCCGTTAAGAAACAACATGATTCAAGCGACGATTTTACATTCCCAGCTTTATATTTTCTTTACATCTATCGATCGTTTCTATGGCAGCTATATGATATAGTTGTCCGATTTTTATAAAATGTATACCAAACTTCTGAAATAATGAAAAAAGCCTATATCTCAGAGTAGATGAAAATACGTTGAAAAACAACAAAGTTCTAATTTTTTTCTATTAATTTTCCGATCGTTCGTATGGCAACTATATGATATAGTCATCCGATTTTCATAAAATTAAAATCGAAAATCTGAAATAATATAAAATAGCCATATCTCAAAAATGGTGCAAAAATGTTGAAAAACAGCCAAATTATAAATTTTTTTCTAAAAATTTATCGAACATTTGTATGGCAGCTATATGATATAGTCGTCCGATCCGGCCCGTTTTGGCCCGTTCCGACATATATAGCAGTGAGAGTATATAGAAGAATATATGCAAAGTTTCATTCAGATAGCTTTAAAACTGAGGGACTAGTTTGCGTAGAAACGGACAGACGGACGGACAGACGGACATGGCTAGATCGACTCGGCTGTTGATGCTGATCAAGAATATGTATACTTTATAGGGTCGGAAAGGTCTCCTTCCCTGCGTTGCAAACTTCTGACTGAAATTATAATACCCTGCAAGGGTATAAATATTAAATCCACAAATAAATAGGGAATAAATTACTTCGAATTTTAACTATAAGGGGGTGATTTTTCAGGAATTTTCTATAGGTTTTCAACTGGGATTCCTGGCGGATTCAACTAGCGATTCCCACGGGACTCCTTGCGGGTTCCGCTTGCGATTCCTTTCGGATTCATGCAGGAATCCGCTAGCGATTCCCGCCGGATTCCTACACGATTATCTTTTGAAATTTCCGAGGAATTTTTCAGGGGATTCATTGCGCATTCCTGTTGAAATTTCGAATTCTTTGCTGGGAGCACCCCTTGTATGCAAATTCCTCGCCGAGTTGTATGAACGTTTCCTGAGGATTCGTGCGGGAATTCTTTTGATTTCTTGAGAAATCTTGGGGAATCCTGGAGGAATGGAACTGAAGGGATATTTTGATATATGTATGTACCATATGTATGTAATAACGGTTAAGTATTTTGTGTGCTGGCCACCGGTTGTTAGGAATGTTTATATGGATGTATGTATGTACACAAATAAAAAAAAAGGGGATATTGATCCCAAATTTAAGCTTAAGTTGGAATGATATCTGGCCAGTGCCAGATTTGCTTAGTTTAAGTACGAACACATTTTTTTCAATCCCGAAAATTCTTAATTGAATCTCAAGTTGGCTTAAAGTAAAATTTAGAAAATTCTTTAAAATTTAAATTCATAATACTAAAAATTATTAAGTTAAGATTCTGTTTTTATAAACTTCTTTGTGAAAGATTTTTATCTATATTATTTATTTAATATTATAGGAGGTATAAATTGTTATTAGATCACATAAATTAGTAACCAATTTTTATTAAAAGCAATATACATTTCTTGAATCCCTGCCAGGATTCGAACCCATCATGCCTCAGAATTATCAGACCGTCCGCTTACCAACTGGGCCACTGAGGAGAATCTAACACTAATGTCATGAACTTGAATACATAGAATTTAAATGAGAGAGCAACAAAAATATGTACATATCTCTTTTCTAAGCTAAAAATAGATATTATAAGACCTTTCAGGCTTGAATCAAGAATATTTGGGATTATTTTTCATATTTTTAAAATTTTTTAAGCTCTAAGAATTTTTATACTTAAATCAAGAATGTTTGAAAATATTTTTTCGTTTTATTTCCGAAACGTACTTAAAAATTTTAAGACACCGCATCAATAAATCAAGCCAAATAAGTTTGATTTTTCAAGAAATTTTTTTATCTGTGTATGTGTACATACATATGTGTGTATGCTTCTAACTGCTGATTATGCCTGACTTCATTTTCTATTGTTTCTGGTCCTGTTGCTCTGTATGTATGTAATTGTGGAATTTTCCAAATCGTAACTTACCTTTCACTCCGTTTATCATGTCGTTGACGTTTCCACTTTCTTGAATGCCACCATTATTAACGCTGCTGCCGCTCTGGGGCATACCAGTCCCACCGCTGAATATATCGTTCTCTTGCTGCATTTGATTTGAGAAATGGGTTTCCTTAGCACGCACCACTTCGTTCAGTCCCTTGTTGTAACCGGGTGTCTGCTTCCGACGTGGCTTCGACGTTGTGTGCACGTGAGGTGCTAACGTCGTTGTCGTCTTGGGCGGCATTCGTAATTCTGCAAGGAATAACGCCAATTGTAAAATAAGGAATTTCGCTTCAAGGCTATTATACCTATAGATAACCCTTAGTAAAAATACATCGAAAGAAATCTTTTGGAAAAGCAGATTTTCTTGTATAACCTTGCGATGTATTTATACCCACCCTTGCAAGGTATAGTTTTGGTCAGAAGTTTGAAAAACCAGTAATGGACTCGGTTCCGACCCTACAGCCTTTTTAACCGTAGATTTAAATAAATTGTAGCAAAACTTAATTTTTTTTATTAAAATTAAATTTTTTAATGATTAAAACAGAGCTTTGATTTGCACGAGCATCAGAATATTTCCTCAATAAGTCAAAAAACGTATGCCAATTAAATTCGATGTCTGCATGCATTCCTATTAGGAGAAACGGTAAACCAGATCGGACACGGATATCATATATCTGCAAGCTGCTGATCGAAAAATATATATAAAACAAGAAGGGAAGCTAACTTTGGCACGCCGAAGTTTGTATACCCTTGCAGATTGGTTTTGATATTTATATTATAAATTTAAATGCTGAAAGCACGCAAAAAACAAAATTTCATTACATTTTACCTATACTTATTATGTTTACAGCTTGTCAGTTACAGTTTTACATTCTACCGATCGCTTCTATGGCAGCTATATGATAAAATAATAAAGAAAGCTCATATCTCAGAGTAGATGAAAAATCATAAAACAGATGCAAAAATGTTGAAAAACAGTCCAGTTATAATTTATTTTCTAAAATGCATCGAACATTTGTATGGCAGCTATATTATATATTCGTCCGATCCGGCCTGTTCCGACATATATAGCAGTGAGAGTATATAGAAGACTATATGCAAAGTTTCATTCAGATAGCTCTAAAACTGAGGGACTAGTTTTCGTAGAAACGGACAGGTGGACAAACGGACAGATGGACATGGTTAGATCGACTCGTCTGTTGAAGCTGATCAAGAATATATATACTTTATAGGATCGGAAAGGTCTTCTTCACTGCATTGCAAACATCTGACTAAATTATAATACCCTACAAGGGTATGTACATATGTGTTTTCACATTCTAGTTAAATTAATAGAAAACAAGAAAGGAAGCTAACTTCGGCACGCCGAAGTTTGTATACCCTTGCAGATTAGTTTTGATATTTATATTATAAATTTAAATGCTTAAAACACACACAAAACAGAGTTTCATTACATTTTACCTATATTTATTATGTTTACAGTTTAACAGATACAGTTTTACATTCCCAGCCTTACATTTTCTCTACATCTACCGATCGCTCCTATGACAGCTATATGATATAGTTGTCCGATTTTCATGAAACTTATTCCAAAATTCTGAAATAATAAAAAAAGCTTAAGCTATGACCTCAAGTCTGCAATTACGAATGCTTACAAAAAAACAGGTCGATGCTACAAAACAAAGTAAAACCAAACGGGAGATTCGCCCAAAAAATAAAAAAAACCCACGCCACCACACGTAAAAGCTTTTAAGCTTGGCTTATGACAAGTCTGAAAGACTTGAATGCCAAAGAACTGGTTAAAAACAACAAAAAGAAAGCTTGATATCAGAAATAGAGCAACATAAAGATAAAGTTCATGGAATTGGCTGGGATGTCTCCAGCAACCTTCGAGGAGCTTCAAAATTCAGGGATTGCCCTAAACACCTTGGGATCCTCTGCGGAATACCCCACTATAGCGAGGTCCCTTGCCGTATCTAGATCAAACGTGTGCAATAAGGGAGGGACAACCTTATCAAGAATCTTGTATAGGAAATGCAACCGAAAGTGCATAACGCATGAGGCAAGCGTTGGGCGTACTTTTCCAATAAATAATTTGCATATATGTACATTTTAAATTTATAGATTTTTATTTTAATTGTTTGGTTTTAAGTTTGTTTCTGTCTTCCTGATGGTCCCGACAATTCTTTCACTGGCCAGTCTCAGGAATGGACGACTGGCTAAGACATTTTCCGTCCAATCCCCTAGAAGTGCCCCCAACGACAGCTCTTCTTCTTCAAACATTGTGTATCACACAAATCTATTTTCGGCCGTTTTTGAAATCAGATTGAATTATTTGAATTATCAATCGTCGGCTGCTTTGTTTTTTTTACCGATTTGGTGGTGGAACTTGTTCGATAGTCCGAATATCGAGTAGAAATCTAACAAATTTGTTGTAATCGACACGAATATCGAACAAATTTGTTGTTATCGATATGAACGCAACTTGGACGCAACTTTTTCCCATCACTAAAAACTACTAGTAAAAAAAACTACGTTTACTGAGTTAACGCAATAACGCAGCCTGGTGTAAATAGACTATAAATCTATAATATAAACATCAAAACCAATCTGCAAGGGTATACAAACTTCGGCGTGCCGAAGTTAGCTTCCTTTCTTGTTTCCTGATCGTTTCTATGGCAGCTATAATATATAGTCGTCCGATTTTCATAAAATTTTTACCAAAATTCTGGAATATAATAAAATGGCTATATCTCAAAAATGTTGAAATATTGAAAAACACCCAAGTTATAATTTTTTTTCTACAAATTTATCGAACATTTGTATGGCAGCTATATGATAGTCGTCCGATCCGGCCCGTTCCGACATATATAGCAGTGAGAGTATATAGAAGCCTATATGCAAAGATTCATACAGATAGCTTTAAAACTAAGGGGCTAGTTTGCATAGAAACGGACAGGTGGACAGACGGACAGATGGACATGGCTAGATCGACTCGGCTCTTGATGCTGATTAAGAATATATATACTTTATAGGGTCGGACGCATGCGCATAAAGCAGGTGGAGGAGTAATTCCGCAACCTACAGAATATCAAAAACCATGTGTAAAGTGCACAACGAGAAACTCACGCACTACGTGCTGCATCTTCCGCGGAAGGACTGCAGAATGTTAGTGGGTATTCTAACAGGTCACTGCCTTTGTGCTGCACATGCAGTCAAGCTGGGTGTTGAGCTATTGAGCTTTTTCAATAGCTGTCGAATTGTCCAATTGCTTTTTGACCCAAAAAATACGCACTTGTTTTAAAACGTTATAAATTAAATGCAATATTTATTAGCCACGAAGTTTTCTATCAATTATCAGCGCAGGCCAGCCGAATTGCCGCTGCGGATATTTATGACCCGAAATGGTCCGAAATTGGTTATAGGCAAATATTTAAGCTGCTCGTTTTCAGGCGTAGGTGAAGACAAACGGAGACGAACTGAGAAAAGAATTTCTGCTGCAGTTAGCGGACAGCCAAGGGCAGCTATGCAAATAGAGCGAGAGAGTGATAAAGTTTATGTTAGGCAGAAGGCAGGAGGAGAGGTAAAGCTTTGCTACGCAGAGCAAATTTATTGTTGTTGTTTAGCCGCTGGGTCATCAGGTGCGGGCTGCATAACCAGACATTCTCCCCCCGTTGGAAGACAAGGGCTTTCAACTTCATCCTGCTTCGGCAGCACACACAGCTTAGCAACTGCGCGATTGATGAGGCCAGTGGCGGTCTTCAGCACAGCGACTCGAGCCACATTGTCGGATCCAGCGACGAGGTTGACCACTCGAGCTAGTGGCCACTTGAGGGAGGGCAGGTTTTCGTCCTTAACCAGAACGACATCACCGAGTTGAACATCCGTCTTCTGTGTGCGCCACTTGGAGCGCTGCTGAAGGAGCGTCAGGTACTCCTGTTTCCAGCGGGACCAGAACAGTTGCTGGTAAAACGAAATTTTCTGCCAGCGATCCAACCGATTGAGGTTCAAATTAGTGTAGTCAGGCTCAGGAAACAAGGCCAGAGGAGCAGTACCCAAGAAGTGCGCCGGTGTCAACACATCAAGATCGCCAGGGTGTTCTGAAAGTGAGACTAAAGGACGAGAATTAATGATTGCCGCGATGTGGCAAACGAGAGTGCGCAGGTCATCAGCGGGCAGTATCGCAGGTCCAACAGATCGGTAGAAGTGGTACTTCGCAGTCTTCACAGCCGCCTCCCATAGACCTCCAAAGTGGGGTGAGCGAGGAGGAATAAATCGCCATTCGATACTGTCAGTCAAGCAGAATTCATCTATTGCGGTTTGGTGGCTGGCATTCAGGAACAATCGCTTTAGATCAGCCAACTCGTTCTTAGCGCCTACAAAATTAGTCGCATTGTCCGACCATATGCGGGCAGGCTTGCCACGAATCAATATAAAGCGCCTCAATGCGCTAAGAAACGCTGAAGTGGAGAGATCCTGGACCAGCTCGAGGTGAACAGCCTTTGTGGAAAAGCAGATAAAAATGCAGACGTAGCACTTGATGGGTGCCTTATTCCGAACTTCCGACTTGTGATAGAAAGGGCCACAAAAATCCAGTCCAGTCACCTGGAAGGCGTAAGATGCGCTGACGCGGTCCTCCGGAAGATCCGCCATAATGTGGCCAGCAACATGTGGCTTGGCCCGAAAACAAATTATGCATTTGCTCACAGCACTCGCAACCGTCTTGCGGCCACCAATTGGCCAAAACTGCTGCCGGATTGAAGCGAGCAGGGAGCGAGGTCCAGAGTGTAGGTTGCGCCGATGAAAATGCAGGATTATTGCGCGGGTTACAGGATGCTGACGAGGTAATATCAGTGGATGGCGTGCCTCATAGTCCAGAGCAGAGTTTTTCAGTCGACCGCCAACACGTAAAAGCCCAAGTTCGTCGATAATGGGCGAGAGCGATGCGATGGAGCTGGAGGCCTTTATTGGCCGTCCTCGAAGCAGGCAATGATACTCGTCATTAAGATGAACCCTCTGAATGGAGCGAATGAGCATTTGGGTGCCACAGCGAACATGTTCCGAAGTGAGACCTGGTTGCCTGATACGATGGCGAAACTTGTAGATGTAGCCGAAGACATGCTTTAATTTTTCCCACGAGTTGAAGAATTTGCAGGACAAGGATACATCAGCAGCTGCCGAGATGCCAACCAAAGCAATCCTTTTAAGGTCAGGAAGAGTCTTCACTGCAAGGCAGGACTCTGGCCATT